TAGTTATTATCAGTTACAATGTAATTACAACCAATAAATCAATGGGAGGGGAGAAAAACAAAAAACCTTTCTGAATTCAAACCTTAAAAAAAAAAAGTATGTGTGGGGGGGTGCGCGGCACTTCAAACTTATAACCAGAAAACCTTTCAAAGTTCATTGCCAACACAACGTTCTAAATTGGCATTCCATTTTCTACCACTGAGGCAGACCCAGGGAGTGCTGAGAAATAGTGTCCCATACAAGGTGTACAGATGAGGTAATTTACAACACAGAAGCTGTTACTCTGTAAACCCTTGACGCACACCCCCAATCGGGTCTTTCCGTTTTACTGGTTTTCATGCTTCTGCAGTGACGCCCTCCTTAAGGAGCATTGTTAAACTTCTATTTATCTAGAAAGAAAGGCTCTCGGGAGGCGCAGGGGTCCTCTGCGCTTTCAGCTCCAGGTGAGGTCTGCAGGGCGCCAGGACGTCCAGCTGTGAACCCATCAGTCTCAGGTACACCTAGGTTCTCTGAGCTACACCGGTGGGGTTCTTAAGACTTGATTTGCAACCCCCGCCCTGGAAAGAGAGTTCATTCATCAGAAGTGTTCCGTTCAGATCTCAATCCAGTGCAAATGTCATCACAAATCGCATCTCTGGCACGGCTGGTGCTTTTAGCCTCTGCACAAATGCAGCCTGGCAACGCCCACAGCATTCCAGGGCACGAGAGGGTCAAGTACAATAAATGTTGACTGTTCAAGTGGCCACAGGAAGAAAACCACCCCGCCCCGCAGAGTGCGTCCCGTCAGCTCTCCCCTCTGTCCGAGACGGGCGCTGAGAGAGAGGAGGCTCTGGCTTCGATCAAGGTTTGCCATTACAGCCAGGAAAGCTGCCACCTCAGTCAAGAGACTAACGCCACGATGGGTTACAAAGTGAGATTAAGTTTATTGAATTCTGCTTCCCAATCGGTCTATTACGCCCAGGCGAGAAAGGCTTGTGAGTCTCTAACGAGAGAATGGGGAACTAAGACTTTAGGCCTAAGATACGTTGGAAGAGTTTTCCTAGTTCCCACGAGCAGCTACGGTAATGAAAGAGTATGAGAAAATACAGAGCGGATGGTTCTGCTATTGTGCTTAACAAACTAGGCTTCCTCAGTGAAGCACCTGATAAACTTAGGTGGTTGGATTGCAGTGGAAAGTCCACTTTATACACACACACACACACACACAAACTGGCAACTTCCTCCACCCCCACTCCCTGCACTGCTGAGACACAAGATGAGCTTCTATGGCAAAGGGTCCTTAATCCCCAGGGACGCTTTGGCTTGTGGTGCTTTTTAAGGTCTCTCTGCCCTGCCCGTTACCATAGGTCCAACGAGGGGTGTATAAGAAGGGGCCTTGGGAAGCCCCTGGTACAGGGCGGCTGCAGGCCCTCGGATGTGAACATGGAGACACCCACCCAGTGAGACCTTTACACAGGGAACTTAAACCTAACCTTGATAAATAAAACCAAACGTTTATTTACACCAAAGAATTCCAACATTGGATCTTTCACATATGAAGGACAAAGTATTATATATATACACATAGCAAGGGGTGGGGCGGCAGGGCTGGAACAGAGTCCCGTTTCCCCACAAGCGCAAGTCTTCAATGGTGGCTCTGCTCCTGCCTCTCGGGTCACATTTACAAGTCCTCTCACTGGATGATGGGACTTGAGAGGGGAAGGGAAGGGAAGGGAAGGAGGGGGTGGTGGTAGAAAGCGTAAACTATAACCCAGTGTGGCCACAGCTCCCTTTAGCTCTTAAAGAGTTGCTAGCAAGAAACCTATGGAGATAATGTTTGTTTCTTATGTAAAAACGCAAGGAGTTATGTCAAGTAATGAAGTAAATTT